GAGATCATAATGCAGCCTATTAAATAGAGGCATAGAGGGCACTCAGGATAGGCAGGGTGCTCCAAGTCAAGCAAAATCAATACCAGTGTTCCTTTCTAAACAACAAAAAAAAAAAAAAAAAAGGTTTTTAGTCAATCTTAAGGTCTGAAACACAGGAGTAGCGAACAAAAGCCTTGAGTCAGGAAGAAACAAAAAAAGTGACAAAAAGATAATTCAGGTTCTGTTTTAGATTAGCGCTAAATTTTATGTGGCCTGTTGCCAAACACAATTTCACATAGACTTTTGCAGGAATTTAATAGACTTAGACTCTGCTTTACCCTGGCACACAGATTCTCTTGAGAATAGCTGGCGTTGTTGCTAGCTACCTGTAACATCAGCACACCTGTTTGGGCATGTCCGGTTTCTTTTACAAAAAGAGAAGAGAATCCAATGAAAATACCTCGGGTCTGTGAGAGAAAGAAAATAAGATTTCCAGTGAAACTGGTTTGATATCACATGACTGAGGCCAATGACTCAAGAGAAGGGAAAAAACAACAACAAAAAAAAAAAAACCAAAGTAAAAAGTACACAGAGGGAAGCAAAAATAGAAAAGTCCCCTTTACAGAAAGACCTCTTGACATCTGTTCCCTGAAATCACTATGAAGCACCACCTGACACTTTAATCACTCGTCTTTCTCTACAGTCTAAACCAGGTTCTTGTAAGTGCTCAATTTTTTTTAATGCCACAAGCAAGTGCTGCAGTATATCATTCTGTAATGTAAGAAAATGGACCTTAATGACTTCCTTGGCAAGTGTATTGTCAACCACTAGGTTATGTTTACAGGTTTGTTGAGGAGAGATTTCAACAGGTCCTGCAGCTGTTGAGGGGGTAAATTATTTAATTAACTGTGTGCAAAATATAGAAGGTAAAAAAAAAAATATAAAATAACCCCCCCCCCCCCCCCACACACACACACACACACACACCCACTGGAGGTCAAATCCAGACAATCACATTTTGTCCACAAGAAAGATTCAAATAAATACAAGCTTATTTGTTGAGTTTTTAGAGAACACATAAAACAGCTGAAGCAATGACTGGATGTGATTTGGAGAAGTGATCAGTGTGCTGACATGCGCCACTGTCCAGAGCAAAACTCACAAGGCTACATTAACTTGCTGAGTCAGAGGGGATGTGAGGCCTTTCTTTCCATCTCGAAAGCATCAAATTCTCAGAAACAAAAGAAACCCCAGCCCCAATTTCAGCTTCATGACAGTTTCTTCCTGATGCTACCCAACTGATTTTTAAAAGAGCCTAAAAGGCAAAGAGGGGTGGTGAACCGTTTCCCCCCATGTGGGAGGTTTAAGATCAACATAGAAATTTGTGAGTCAGTAATAAAACCACAGAATATATATTTCAATTCCTCATCAACTGCTTTATAAGAGGAACCACTGATCTTCACACGATTAGTCCTACAACACTGCGTTGAGTTCAGCTACCCTACATCTTGTCTTTATATTCCCATCTTATTGTCCTTACAGCTTCACTTAACAGGAGTGTTGAGGTAAACAAACTACAGGAATTAGTTCCTCCCTTTCCCTCCAGCACAGAGACCTGGAAGAAATGTCAAGACACTGTACAGTACAAAATGTCCACATCTGTATATCCTTAAAACTGGATGAGGCAATTTTTTTCATAAGCATTTGTTTATATTTCTTAAGTGTTGTCTCTTTACATCCTAACAGCAAGCAATAAATCTGTGGCTGTTGCAGGACTGTAATAAACACAGCCAGTCATTGTATTAAGTGAAATGACTGGCTGGCCTAGGTACCTGTCTACATACCTGCGCTCACTCAGTGCACTGAAAAGGGGGTGAGAGTTTTTCCCAGTTGGACACTTTCAAAATCTTGCTGTCTCCTGCTAGTTCACCAACACATGATACACTTTTCATCTTACCTGCACATATATCAACAGGGTGACGTACAGTCTGATAAATGTGCACAGTGCTACACTATAACTCTGGCTGGTTTGTCTTCAGACACAAACTAATTTCCTGTTTCCTTGTCACAAATGCAGAGGGCCTGCTGACAGGAAGGGGTCCAAGGTCAGTAGTGAAAAAGCAAAAAGATCCAGTTTAGTTTTACTTGTGGTTTCAAATGTACAAAGGTTGCTTTTTCATGTTTTTCCTCTTTTGCACAGATATGAGCAGTTCTGGAAAACAGTCTGGACTGGAAATGGGTTTGTAGGGAAATGTGATTATTTTATACAAAACCAAATCTAGATCATTCAGCTTTACTCCCCCGCTCTGATCCTCTGCTGTATCACAGTCATGTTTGTAAGCCAATGTCTTTTGTCTAATGGCTGCCTTCAGCTCACATAATAAATAACCTACTTTCACTTTCCATTTCCTTGTATCAATCCGCGGGGGGGCTCAGTATCACGTTTCATAATTATTTTTAATTTCAGGTTTTAAGTTCTTTCTCTTCTTTTAATCGAGACGCTGCCTACACCAGATTGCACCGTGTCCTAATCATTGATAAATGAGAGGCACGTGTGTTTTAAATCAGCGCCACCTGTTTTCAGACGGTTATCTTATCAGCTCCCAGAAACCGAACAGCGGGGTCAGGCAGTCAGACACAACCACCTCCATCTGAGCTACCACAACGGAAAACTGCTACAGCGAGGACTTCACCTGCCCTTATATCAAATGAGTCGGTGTCAGTCCAAAATATTAACTTAACATACGGTTAAATCTGTTATTTACAAGTCTATATGCAACAGATTTAGCTTCACTGCTAACTCACCGTGTGAACAATTAAACTAACATCTAAAAACCGGAGCCGCTTTAATATCGAGGACAAAGCTGCAAAAACAAGTCACTTACTTGTAGCTCGTGTGTCAGCTGTTTATGTAAACTTAATTAAAGCTTCAGCTCCAGTTCCCCCCTCTCTGACCGTCAACAAAGCGTGTGGGTGTGATTGTGAAATTGTCCTCCTCTGGTATTTATTCCTGGAACCACGTGAACCGGGTCACATGAAGGCAGCTCATGTGATCTGACACCAAAACCTCACCAACCACACGTCTCCTTTGTTGTTCCGGTGTTGTGCCGAATTTAAGAAAGATAATGTTCTCTTAAAGACAAACAATGATCTGAATCTGGATGTAACCGGCAAAGACAAAAAACGTTTGTTTGTTATTTATATGAAAACCTGCATTCTAACTATTTATTTATTTTATTTTTAGAGATTTGATATAACTGTGTATGTGATTTATATCAAAGTCTGTACTACTGTTTTGTCTATAGCTCTGTATTCTCATAATCAGGAAAGGTAGCACTGCCACTGTGCTACAACAATAGTTATCAAGTTAAAGTGCTGCAATCAAATTTGTAAAAATGTAGTTGTATAAGCAGCAAAATAAATATGAGTGCAATTGCCATGGATAGATTATCCCCCCAACAACCCGTGTTTTTCTACCAGCAGTAAACAGAGATGTAAGTTAAAAAAATAAGAGATCAGATCTGACTGTCCAATGAGAAATGATAATGGTCACTCCAAACAGAGGAAAACTTGACCCTAAACCTGCAAATGTCAGAAATCGTTTGAAGCGGTAAGGATTTCTGACACATCTTCACACTTCCAAAGTGAAGGGATAAAGGAGAAGTCTGAAGAGGTAGCCTATAAAAAAAAAAAACAACAACAGCAGCGCTTTATTGATAGGCCGACACGTTTGGGCTTGTGGACTTCATCAAGGCCACTTTGAGCAATGTGCACAAGGCCACTTTGAGCAATGTGCACATCTATCGCTCACTGCTATTCTATTAAAGATCACTGATGATTTTAAATTAGCTAGAAAAGGTCATCAATCACATCCTTGTTATGAATAATTTGCCATTGTCAGTCTAAAGCGCTTCATATTTGTTTCTGGGCTATAATGTCTCTCAAATACCTCGACACAGCTCAAGCCCAGAGGTCACTTTGCTAAAAGGCTATTCTAGTCTTTTATATTATAATATATTTTCAAACTGGATTTATGCTAAAGTAGTTATTCTGTCTAAATGATTCTGAGGATCTTTTTTTAATAATGCATGGACAGCAATGTATGTGTATGGTGATATTTGACCATTTTTTGCTTATCTGTGACTTTTATTTCTAATTTTATTCTTTTGAGACATAACTTGTGATTTATAATTGAGGGTGACGGCAACTTTTTTGCTGTACTATGCTTTAACGTGCTGTGGATCATTGACCACAGAGGACATGCTGATCGTCTAGCTGCTTTCTCTTCCTTTCATCAGCCTGTCATCTGACTTTCAAAATGATGACATGGGAAGCACAGCACATCAACTTTAATCACTGTTTTACCAAGAAAGTTGCACAAGAGCAGATCCTCATTTTAAAGTAAAATGTAAGTGACCAACAATACTTTCTTATTTAATCAGGCAGACAAACCAAAAACACATTCTCTTTTCAAGTCAATTAAACTTTTTAACTTGATAAAAGCTGGATTACAACTTGGCAAAGCAGACAAAAGCCCCAGGTTCACTGTGTGGCAACTGGTTTATAAGAATTTGCCTAATCACAACTTTGCTGTCTGTCTTCTTCATTATTTATCTTTAAGTCTTGTTTTACGTTTTTGTACAACTTCACTGCTTTTTCTGTTTTATTACCTTACCACCTTATTATTTCAGCTAATGTTATGCTGACATGGTGCAAAATCCTATTATATTTTGTGTTTAATAAAATGAATGCCAGCATAGAAATACTGCAGAGGAGTTGGAGGAATTATGGTTAATGCTCCCCAGCACGTTAATCCGGCCCTGTGATAATGTAAACAATAAAGTACGTTCACTGCAACTTTGTTCTAGAGCTGCTGCCAATGAACTGACTACACTCAATTTACAATGTATTCATTGCTGTATCATTTACACAGTGATTTTGCATCTCCACCTATCTGAAATGTCACTGATGGTAATTCAATCAGGGAAGATCAATAAAATACAACACAGCATGTTGCTTTGATCATGATTAATGACTTTATTTTGTCACATCAATAGCACAGTTAATGACTCACTACCACCAACCCACAGTTGCTCTGTGGAAATCCTTGCAGAGATGAGGTGATGCATGTTGATACATGGAGGGCGTCCGGTGACTAAGTGATGTAAAACTCAATCAGCAAACTAATTCCAGTCTGTCAATGAAAACTATACACTGTCTCTAAACAAAGTTAAATCACAAGTGAAACTTCAGCACAAAACCCTGAAACTGCACCATGGCTGTCCACTCGCTCCAGAACAGTAACTGTGACCAAATATAAAAGAAGGAGATTTTAAAAAATACAAAATGAGTCAAATTAGAAAGACAAGGCAACGGTTATCATAAACATCAGGTACACAAAGCAAAGCATATTGTTCTAATATAAAGCAACACACACAACACAAGCACGGCAGCTGAAGCTGTCTCTCTACAAGGCAAAGCGCTGATTCATGATGATCAAGCCAAGGCATTGTCTAAAGCATGTGCGTAAATATCTTTTCATCAGTGCTCTAAGATACATTTCATTAGCTGGATTATTGCTTTATTGCATACACATACATTCTAGCATGTGTGTTAACTACTGTAATGTGTGTGTGTGTAGTTACAGAAAATGCTTTCTTTCTCTAAAGGAATAGATACAATTCTCTGGGTGCCTGTATGAACAAGTAACATGCAGTGACTCATTTATCTATCAGCAGGTACATAACAGTCTGACATGGTTTGATAAAGTGGCTCTGCCAAAAGCATGTTTTTTCTCCATACTTTGTTCGATAAATCCCCAAAAGCCGGAGTTTTATCACTAAACGTGAGCATCACAACCATTTAACTTCTCATTACAGATTTATATACTTATAGTTATCATATTTGTTTAGAAACACAGAAAAAGAGTTTAATAACATAGCATAGTTGATGAAAAACAGAAACATAGAAGACAAATATAGACTACATGAAAGTCTGATTTCACATATTGAAACACATAATGTTCATAACATGACATAATACTGGCATTGACCAAACTCACAGCAGCACATTATTTCCAGGGTTTACCTTTATGCAACACTTCTAATCTAAACCTCTGCCTCCTTACATAGTTTCCCTCCTTCTGGTAGCTACATTGTCAAAAACATTTTATAATGTTAAAAAAAAGGTCACACAATGAGTGAATACATCTTCTTACTCTGACAAAAAAACATAATAAATTCAGTTTAACTGAGGTAGACTGATAACTAATGGATCATCTGAAGGACGACATATTTATTTATAGTGGGCTTTACAGGATAGTTAAATAGCTATTCATTTAAATCAGATTAGATCATTCAACTTGTTGTACTTTATTTAATTTTTAAACTGGTGTCCCAGCTAAAAAGGTTTGTGAAGCATTATTCTCTACTGGACGTGTCCATTTATTTCAGTAGGGTGTAATGTTACGAAACATTGTGAAAACTCTCTTAAAGAGCATAACTGAAGAACAAATATATATTGATGAAATCAACTTTAGGCTTTATGTTTACTGCGAGTTATTGTCTCCATCTGAGAATACCCAAAACTGCACGGCCACGTTTTCCTCTACGGGGGGAAAGTAGGCCTTGATATTGCCAATTTAAAGAAAAGCACTGTGTGCTCCTCAGAAAAACCCAGCACAAGTCCAAAACAATGCTAAATGCTAATAATTATGGTAGCAGTCATGCTGTAAAGCGTTTTAGCAATTAATAAGTCGGATGTGAAGAAGATTAAGTAGATGGCCAAATTAAAAATCTAAAATTTAAAGCACTTTGGGACCACAAGAATTTGGGGCAATAGCTTAATCAGAAAAAACACAATGGTAGTGAGCTAGCTTAACTTCCCTCCCAGCACATCATCATCCATACACTTCCCTTCTTTTATCAATAAAAAATGAACATGATTGTCAGAGGTGTTCAAAAAATAAATAAAAGTTACCTCCTTCTCTTTCTTAGAGACAATAACACAACAACAATTATGTCCTGCAGATATGATCTGTTTGTTGTACAGTATCATTTCACCTTACTTGTTTTTGAAATGTCTTTAAAGTGTGAGCGTGTATGGAGAAATTGTCTCAATTCTGGAGACTTCTTATTTATTTATGTCTTAATTTAGGGATATAAAGCATTTCTGCACGTCTTAAACAAAGTCCTAACAAACACATAAAAGATACGTTTTGATATCAAATAACTGATCAATATACTCAATAATAAAATTAAATAAATAAAATTAAATGCATTTAAGAACAGAAATGTCAGCTGATACTCTTAATATTCTATATTGCTTCATTTCCTTTTGATAAACTCACATTATAATCATAGTGTTGTCACTCTGCAACCACTCTGGCGGCTAACAATACACTAGCTGTACCTCTTTTCTGTGGTGAAGTGCGGACTGACTAATTATTGCAGTTACAATGAGCAAAGGAAAGCATAGCATATAATTTATGATATACATATTCCCTCAAACCTTTGCTTTTTGTCATTTGCTTATCTGATAGTTTCATGAAAATAAAGACATCAATTAACAAATCTGACTATTTTACAGACAAGTTCTGTCAGTAGTATGTGTAAACACCAACCGCGTACTGAACTGTACACACAGTGAGTAACTGACTGACTGGATGCATGGGTGGCTTCCTGAAAACTGGAGAGGATGTTCAACATCATGTGAAGGTTTTGTAAACAAAAACAGAAAAAGCATTTGCAAGCATGATAACATCATTACGTGACATTAAATGTATGCTTGGATCTGCAGTAAGTATGCATTATAAATACATTTCCTAACATTGCATCAGACTAAACTCACCAATTAAAAAAAAAGAGAGACTGGCATTGGCAAGCGGCGTTACAGGAGATTTTGCTGAGCAGATGGGCAGGCTGTTTGGTTATTGTAAACTAGTTTAGTTACCTGGTTCATTTAGAAAATTCTTGACACTGGGATCTAACTACCATTTAAATAAATTTGCCTTGATTCACATGATTGTTTAAGCATTGTAATTTTAAATGTCATCATAATAATTATGATTATTTTAATTTCCCCAGAGGTAACCTCAGCTGTACTGCCTGAATAAGCTTTAGCTTAACTGCTGTAGTTAGTTTCTAATGATTAAGGGACGGGTTTATCTAAATTAATGTGTGATACCCCACATTCTATAGCACCAGTGAATTGTTATCTGTGTTTTCTTTTGATGAGTAAACCAGATCCAATCATCTGTAAATAATTATCTGTACTATATAGTGATTTTTTTTTCATCAAATGGCTTTAAAGAACTGAAAAAAAAACACATTCCCACCTCCCCGACCCCCATATTTGGAATAGCCGATTCCCTTGTACAGCGGCGTTTGTCAGTGTTAACTCCTCTGTGGCCTCGGTAGGAAGACAGCCACATGCTTCACCTGAAACACATGAGTTCACCAGATGCTTCCCTTGCACCAACAGGAGTTCACAGTAGCAAGCGAGGAGTTTCATACTATCCCACTCTCCTCCGTGCAGATGCTCCAACCAACCAGGAGCTGCTTGTGCAGCAACAAGGACCTGGTCCATCACTGACTTAACGGCAATACACACTACATGTGTTGGAGCCAGGATTAATAATCTTTAATAGATTAAACATTAATAGTGGTTGGCAAGAGTGTTGCTAATGTGCTACCCATGCATCCCAGTTTTCTGCTAATGTAACCCTTGTATCTGGATGTCAGATGCAGATACAAAGAAAACCCATAAATAATCATTTATATATTATTTTCTTCCACGACTGATTCAAATGAACTGAGCTGAAAAGAACCAGCCTGGTTAGTTAGTTAATGCATGAATTCATGTATATCCTCAACTAATAAACTGAAAAACACATCATTCCCCACCCAGTTGTTCCCTTCCCCTGTACCCCCATCCTCCTTACACTGCCCTCTCTCTGCTGTCCACAAACTGGACCATCTGTTTGCGAGCATGGGAGATGACTGGAGTGAGTGGAACCACTGGAGTACCGGGGATAGCAGCACCAGGAATCGATGCCCCAGGAGTCGATGCACCAGGAGTCGATGCACCAGGAGTCGATGCACCAGGGGTTGAAGCGGCGGGTGTTGAAGCAGCGGGTGTTGAAGCAGCGGGTGTTGAAGCAGTGGGTGTTGAAGCACCAGGGGTTCCACCTGGGGAGGTGCCGGGTGTTGTACCAGGAGTGGCAGGGATAACAACAACAGGGGCTAAGCATGGACTTTCAGCGCCAGCTCGAGGCTCCAGTCGTGGGGTGGATGTGACAAAGCGAGCCTCTCTGATCCGGTAGGGACTTCTGTAGGTGGAGATGGGCGACAACTCGGAGCCCCAGCCTAGATAGCTCCCACTGGAGGGAGACTGTGCATCCGCGCTGAAGTACAGTGTAGTGCTGGACTCTCCAGGGATCCCCGATTTTTTCTCCGGGGAACCAATTGGGAGAGGGGAACGTCGCTCAGGTGACCAGCCGGGAGTCTTGATGTCCAGAGAGCCTGGGGAGGACGAGGCTTCAGTCAGGGTCGCAGCATTGCTGTCAATGTGGCGGAGGCTTCCTGTTTGCCGGGGAGATGAAATAGTTGGCGAGCCGTAAGCTGCACTCTGAAACTCTTCATCACCTTTGAAAAAGAAATCACATTGATTTAAAAGATAAATTGTGTTTAAAACAGTACACATGTTCTACAATGACTACAAATCATTAAAAAGTAAAAAGGTCATTACATCAAATACATTTGTTTATTACAAGTCAACACTCATTCAACACATTCCTTTAGCTAAGACTGAATACATAAACATCTATGCCAGTCTTTTCATTCATTTCATAGTTAAGATTAAAAAATTAGGTAAACTAGCCATGGTATGTTCAGTGTGTGTATGTACTTATGTATACTCAGTGACCAGAAAAACACAAACCCTGATTCTGCAAAGAAGCTCTGAGCAACAGCAAAACCATTTCCACAATTATCCACACAATAAATATCTCAAATCACCAAACTAAAAGCAGCTATAAAGAATATTTTAATAAAACTGACAGTGGATCACCTGACTACTTGTATGTGAAAGGGGTTGAACACAATTTTAACCCAAAGGAAATTACCCTGTGATTCTGCAGTTCCCCACAGCTCTACAGGACATTACAGTTCTTTCAGCTCATTGTTTTAGTTTTCTGGCATGTAACTTTACTGTTTTAATTAACTGTCAATGCTCTCGTCAGCGTCATTTTCAGCCTCAGCAGGAAGCTGTTTTTATTGGAAAAGCTCTTTCTTAAGTTCTTAAGTCAGTTGTTGTGTAACTGCTGGATGTGTAAGTAGGCAACCGCTAACAACGTCATAACAACTTTAAAACAGCGCGACTATGTCGATGTTGTGTTCCCTGCTTGTTCCCACTGCCCATAAGTGGCAAAAAATCAATTATTCATGTTTAAAGTGTGACAGATAGTATTATCATGCATATTAGTAAAGCAGGTCAGAGCACTCAAAGGTCAAACGTGTACATTGAATGAAGCAGAACTCCTGACACGAAGAAGCCTTCTGTTGGGATTAACGGTAATCCAGTGCAGTCCTAAACAGCATTTGTTATATTTCTGCGGTCCCTGAGTATATGTTTTTCAGTGTTTATTGTACATCCAACCTTTGTCTTCTGATGGTGGAGCGCTGGACTCCTCTTCTGTCTCTCTTTCCGTCTCTTCAAGAATGACCTCCTGGACTGGGATGATCTCTGGAAACCTTCTCATATCTTGGATTGTTGTGGGAGGAGCTTTTCTCACTGGTCTGGCAACCACACTGGTGGGAGCTGGCTTTGGTGGCTGGACCACCTCTCTCACCTGGGAACAAGACAGACAGCTGAGCCTCAGAGTGCAGACACACAAACTGAAAGTATTTTGTACAGATCCGACTTTTTAGTCAACCTGGTGGCTGGGCCTACATTTATTGTCATGAACACGTGGGTTACGACATGCTGTCCTACTGAATCTCTCTTTACATTGCTAGAGTAATTTTACACTTGAAGAATAGTCGAATAGCAAAAATTGTCTAATGGTATATGTTTTTGTTTCTATAAAAATGTGCCAGGCCAGGTGAAAATGTGTTTCTTTCAGATCATTTGTCTCAGTTTTCAGATTCAAGTGGCTTTAAGTACAAATGTACTGTATTCTTAGTTGAAATTATCACTAAAGTGGGGGCTTAATTAAACTAATTAAAGATCTTGCCTGTGGAGCCTGGGTCACCTGTGGTGGAGCTGGTTGAGGAGCTGGTTGCGAGATCTGAGGAACCTGTGGCTGAACAGGTGGATGCTAGGGAGAACAGGTTTAGCAAGCAGACATTAAAAAACATTTCTACTGAAACTAACAGTAATGAAATTGATACTTTCAGATCAGTTCAAGTTGCAGGAAGTCTCACTACTAAAACCAATAGCTCTTCTAAGCAGGACGTTCAATAACACGAACGCAACAAACCCGAGGGACAAGAAGTTCATCGGGGGAGTGAACTTCTTCAGACAGACCCATCAGTCCGGCAAGTCCCCCCTCGCCATACAACGACCAGATCTTAGTTACATCCCCCGTCTTCAGGGCCAAGCGAATCAGCAGCCAGTGGTGATGTTTCCAGCCCTCCCATTGGATAGGGAGATCCATGAGGGTCCCACCTCCTGATTAGATAAACAATCAGTCATTATTTTGCCAGATAGATAGATAGATAGATAGATAGATAGATCTTTGACAGACCTGACAGTGTCGCATGGCGGTTAAAAGTGGGTGTGACTTTCTCCTCCAATGAGAGTGTAGATCCACGCTCCATGCAGGCTCCACCTATCCCCCTGTAGCGAATACTCTGGAAAATTTCAAAGGACTTAGGGTGGAGGAAACGATAGTACAGCACCAATGCTATCACTCCTGGAGAGAGAGAGGGGTGGGGGGTAGGGAAATAGAAGTAAAACAAACAAGGTCTTGTAATGGAGGTGTGCAAGTGTGTAGAAGTTTATAAATCTCAGAATGTCTCTAATTCTAATAAGCAATTGTTAGCATGCTAAACTAAAATGGTGAACATGGTAAACATTTTACCTGCTTAACATTAGCATGTTAGCATTGTCATTGTTAGGATACCCCACATTAGCTGTAAGCACAGCCGTTCGGTACGGCTGTAGACTTATACAGTGTGTGGCTGTGTGTCTTACCTATGAGGAAGCTACAGAAGACTGCAGCTGGGATTCCCACCGTATCCCAGGACACCATGGTGAACATCCACGAGGAGGCCAGAAGAAGAAAAGCGTTCTCTATAAACATGGCCTAAGGATGAACGAACAGTAACAGAAGAACACTGTTACCTTTTCCCACATTTGAAATCACTGTGTTTTACAGGCTTGTAGTTATTTATTGGGCTTACTCTATATTACTTAACGTTTGTCTTAGAGATTACATTGATTCAACTGTTGCATTATCAGCATCTCAGATATACCATTTGGTTACAGTATCACATGTGTACATGTATTTTTGGCATATGGTGAGACACCCTGAACCTGGACTACATAGCAGATCTTTTACCTCATAAACTTATTCTTTTTAGTGTTTCACATGGTCTCTGCGGTTCTGTTTTTGTCAACAGCCCTGCAGAAAACCTCAGATGAACAGTTATACACTGACCACAAACACACACACATACCAGGTAGAAACCAGCAATGCGGCATCTGGATTGACCGTGCTTCACATTGAGGAAAAGGAAGATGTGAATGGCTCCCAGAACGAGGTTGAAGAGTCTCCATCGACTAGTTGAACGTATGATGTCAGTCTGCTGAGACACCATCCAGAAAGTTGCACCAAGCCAGTGCACACCTGACACACACACACACACACACACAACCGATGAAATAGTCAACCTTTCATACATACATAAACCTGATAGTAGAGAATGTGGACCAAGAAAGGGTTTTATCACCAAGACTCACCCAACAATAGTCAAATGTGTTTTTCACTGATTAAAAACACCACTTATTTATTTCTTATCTAGTCCTTATGGACTGTTTGCCAGATTCAACAAATACGAGCTTTGAGATGAAGCCTTGACATCCAGACTTACCCATTACTCCAAGGACCCACTGTTTAAAGATACGTGTGAAGAGCATGAGAACGGCAAATCGAGATCCCAACATACTGACCTGCAGAAAGAGAAATACACCTGTCACACAAACAAAGCCAAACGACGAATCAAACACAATGCATGCATATAAATATGTCAATAAATATGCTGCTCATTATATTGACACTTTTATACTGAAGGAATGTATATATGTTGTGTACATATTGGTTGATGGAAGGTTGTTTAAATATGCCCACCCTCCACAGCAGTCGGCAGAGTATGGCAGCGGGGGTCATTTGTAGGTGTCCTGGTCTGATGAGTGAACAGGCTCTGGCATAGAGGACCAAGGCCCAGGCGAGAGATAACAAACACACTACAAAACACACAGAGGCTGGAGGGGAGACAGAGGAGGAAGGAGGCAGAGAGGAAAAGAAAAATGATTTCCTTGATACATTGTAATGCTAAATACATAATGTACATCAGATACAAGGCTGCTGCAGATGCACACAGGACATAGATGGCAGAGAAATTGGTTATGCTAATTGTATTGCTTTTTTGGCCACTTGGCAGCAGAACAAGCTGAAAACAAAACATCTGACTTATCATCAGTTCATAAAGTTAAAACAGTAATCAAATCAATCAGACACGGAGCAACATTATTATTTATTTGGATGATTTTTTTGGAGGCTTTCTTTTAGCTCTGTTTTGGTCTCTGCCGGCTGCTGGGCAGATAGCGTACAGTGGGTCTATCACTAAAGTGAAGCTGTGGGTCGACAAACTAAAACAATGATATAAAAGACCATAAAATGTTCCGTAAAGCTGATGGAAACTCCAGGGTTGATAACTACAAGCGACACCTTTCACATTAAACAGTTATTTGATCCTCATTGTTTAAGTGACACTGTATTTTCCTATGCTGAAGGCACAACTCACACCTGTCAAAATATCGAAGACAATGTAAATGATAATAGCACAGTTGACTTGAAGTCTTGAGGACCATTAGAGGAGCCGGCTTTCCCATTATTACATTGTCCAACAACACACTAATGTATAAGCAATCCTTAGTGGCATAGATGTTATGCATGAAGTGATGAAGTGGATAACCACTCCAATTTCAGTCCCTGTAACTTTAATCATCATGATAGGAATATCTGAGTTCTTTATCATATTTTACCCTTTCAGATGTACCTGCAGTACCAGATATGAACATATTAAGAGCTGAATGTGGGTATAATTCAGCAGATACCACTTAAAACAAATAGTATATGTGAGTCCAAAATTCACTCTCCTTTAGCTCTGTTTTTGATATCTACCCACTCCTGAGGGAAATATCTGTCTCTTTAGCAGCTAAATGCTCCACTATGTTCGGCAGCTAGTTGCTAACTGTGTATGTCTGCTGTTTAGTGCTTATAAGATAGCGTACAGTGGGTTTTTAGAGCTTTTTTTCTGAAAACAACTGCTGCTGCAGTTAAAGTTAAAGTTGATGGTTCATGAGCTGCTGATTATTGTCAGACAACAGATACTGTTCATTCTTTGGCTACCACACACATAATTCTATGTGCTATTTCAGATCTAGTCACCCTTGCACACATACTCTCTACATTCCCTATTAAGTGTCTCTGTACCTGGAGACTTGATTCCTATATCAGTACAGATGAGCACATAGGTCTGCAGCAGCGTCTGAGGAAGGGTGACCACCAAGGCCTCAAACAGACGCAAGGCAGATGCATCAGCCTGCTGCATGATCTCACCATACACATCCTCATCTGGCAGAGCCATACACTCCAACAGCCTGTGGAGGTCGGAGATGGATGAAGGGGACGAAAAGTGGGAGATAGAGAGAGAAAAAGGAAAAATCGCCATATACATAGTTATACACAGTATATATCATAATCAAGTGCTCAGTTTTTCTGACTTTTACTTTAAATTGCCCCATTATTGATCATTCACACGCATATTAACACACACACATATGTAAAGTCATGACACCTTTTGAAGATACCCAGGTGCAGTATGTGTGTCCAGGTGAGAGACTTCCTGCGGATGCGTCCATCTGACAGGTACCACAGGTAACTGAGCAACTGGGGACCCCAACCTATGAAACATAGAATGAGACAAATATAAATAAAATATCTATCTATCTATCTATCTATCTATCTACTGTATCTATCTAACACCAACCTTGCATCATCATGCAGGGTTGTCTGATCTGTTCTTTCTACTGTGATAAGCAGAATCTAACATTTCTCTATTGGTGTTCTATTAGTCTCTGTTTATTTATGTTGTAAATGTAGATTGATCTCTTGTTGTTGTTTGTTTCTCACCTGGCAGCAGGAACAGTGCAGTGAAGCCAGCAAGATAGGCATAGCAGTAGTTGTGACCCACCCACAGATAGTACACAAAGCAGTAGATCACTGGGGGAAGAGTAGAAAAACACACGTGTATACTGGTTCTCTGTTGAACAGAAACATCAAGTTATAAGATCAGAGCATAAGCCACTACATACAAAAAACACTGAACACGTTGTCATAATTTGTCAAGCATATTTTCTATACATGTCTATTAGACTTTTTTTTTGTAAATGTGTCCTGAATGGATGAAGATATCTGTTGCGATGTGGATGAGAATCTGTAGCCCAACAGACAGGAACATCAGCCAAAGGGATGTTTCTCATGTTTACATTTCTAATTTTGTAATTTCTTTCCATTGTGCTGTATAGTGCTGTCTTGTATTTTTCTTTTCTGTATCACAATGACATGCTCTGTCAACACATTCCAGTACAAACAGGTGTAACTTTGTATCCTGTCCAATCTTTACAATGTATAACTTAGCCATAGTTTACATCAGAAAATACCACTGACAACATAGCTAAACATTTTGACCCTCTTGTTATCTATAAACGAGGACAGAAGGATGCTGATGGCATTGACATGTTCACTGACATAAATATTTAGTTTTAACAGATAGCCTAAGGTTTGAGCAAGTTATGGGCTTTTGCAGGTTATCCACTGAAAGGCCCTTACTGTTTTGCAAATGTTAAGGATGATTCAAGTAATGTACCAAAGAGCCTGAGAAAAACTGTAATAACAATGGGTCAGACACACTGTGCAGTTCTTTTATTTGTGATTTGGGATATAAACTGTCAGTCTGCTGATGATGCTATATAAAACTGTAATAAGTGTTGAAACTCAAAAACACACAAATTAGAAGGTAAATCATATTGTGCATATTTGGACAAACCTTGCTTGCACTCTGCAGGAATATAAAACAGATCAGCTTCATAAATCACATGCACAATATCACTGTCTCATTATTACACTTTACACTTTGAAAGAGGAGTGTAAGTAACAGACTATTTTGTATGATGCTGCTTATGTTGTGGTCTAAGGGTTTACATTGCGGCTAACTGGAACATAGAGCATTTTAGTTTTTTGTATTTTGTGATCGATATGATTGTGATATGATTTCTGTTCTGCATTTAATGACAGCCTCCTCTCCACTCACTTACAGACTCCACATCACTCCGCCTGAGATGTACAGCTCTGCCTCCCCCCCTCCATCCCTCCATCCCTGCAATCTGAACTGTCCATAGCTGCTAAACAGGCGGGCTGTCCGGGCAGACTAGGCCCCATCCAGGGGTACGCCCATCCCCTCATCCATTCATGCACCTCCCAAAAAAAAAGGGCGCTGAAATATGACAACATGGCTCCGCTTTGTTTTTGTACAGGAAAGATCTCTCATAGGCTGAAATGGTGCGGCTGTTTAAAAGATGACAAACTCCGGCGTGAGTCTGCAATTTTGCTGCACGTCATAACATGCAGCCTATAAAAATAGGAAAGAGGTGCACTACTGCTGACTGCAGAATCTGGTCTGGACTCCATAATTCATGACAACACCCCGAGAGACAGGCGCTGAAGTGAAAACAAACTACTGTTACTGTATATGTTCAAATAAACCACATATGACATCAAAAACCCTATGAGTGTATGTCTCCTCCAGCAGCTGCTGCAGCCCTCACACACTACATCCATACACTATATACAAAAAGGCACGAACGCACATGCACGCGCACGCCAATAAAGTCAAATATAAGACACATCACAATGCGCACGGGCAAGCACAACCACGTTACAATCTACCTGCACACCGTTAATGACACAACTCCTGGTTTTCTGTACAGTGTGTGTTCATATGTGTGCGTGTGAGTGTGTGCGTGTGTGTGTCCCAGGTAGGACTCACGTGCCGTCCTCTCTGCAACGAGGAGAAATGCGGTAAAGGCAAAGACGCAAACTTGGCAACACGGCATGCAGGAGCCTCCATTGCTCGGAGTCGCTGAGTAGTCTCTCATTGCGGATTGGAAACCTGAACTCTCAGATTTACGGTGATAACAGCGTGTGAGTCTGCACGCCGATGCTGTTCTGGTCCCGGTCGGGAGTCGGTCCAGCTGCGGCAGCCTGCTCTCTCTGCCCAACGTCACCGCCCGTCCCGTTAAAGCGATAGCACTAGCAGAGAACCTGAGAGGTATTAGGTCTAACGTGTTTAAATCTATATATTTATCTATTTATCTATTTATTGGTGAAGTTTGGTCATACTTAAAAACACTTCTGACTCACGTCACAGTGTTTTGTTGGTATAGGCTATCATGTTTCTAATTTTCCTTTTGTTTTGCTCAGTTTTAGTGTCCTATTCTAGTATTCAGGGCTACACTGCTTTGTGCCCTCACTGAAGAGAAGTTTAATAAGAAAATAATGGTCCAGAATATGCCTTTGCTCACTTAACTAAAGTAATAGAAATATATTTTATTAGTCACAAATTAAATGGGATCATTGCATAATTTTTCAGGAGTCTTACTGAATGTGTCCACAATCCAAAACGTTTTTTGAGTCATTGTATTTGCTTTTAGTGAACATGTGAGGCACTACCTGGTGGACATTTGAGGGCAGAAGGACCAGTGCAAGTTCATGATGATAAAGTTACTGATTACTAGATGGGTAATGTGGATTCATCTGGGGGTTTCATGAATTAATGAGCCAGAAGAGACATATTTTTATCTCCACAAATAATATTATGTATACATGATAGCATTTATTTGTCCTACTCCATTTTCCTATTTAATTATTTATGTGTTTATTTTAATTCTAATTATCTGATTGAAAGTTTTCTTCATGTTTTTTATTTTCTTCCCTCCCTATGGCCTTTATTCTTTGCCATTGAAGATTTTCCATTTTGCTTTTCAAGCACTATGTGAATAATTGGACACCAGGGGGAGTCCAACACAGGGGTTGGAGTCTGAGACTGTGGGCCTCCCTTCAGACAAAGCTTGGAAAACACCTCCCTCCCCTCACACCAGTTAGTTTACTTAGTTTTGCTCAATTCCTGGATATCAATGGGATCATTACAATGCTCTTTGATCCCATATACACTCAAGGTCAGAAAAACCTAATATTTCTTGTTTGACACTACAGACCACACCAAATACAATACTACAAAAAGGTCTGTCCTAAGGCATTTATCATTTTCGGACTCTGGGAAAGGGGAAAAGACAACCACTGTAACCAAATCACACACGTGTAGGCTGTTCTATATGATCTCCTTTTGATAACTAATGTACCTCCCCGGGGGAGGCCCACCTCCCACTTTGAAAACGTCTGCAATAACAGATCATTCTTCTTAGAAGGTTTGGTCATGTTTGTGTGTGCGCTTTTAATTTTTTACTTGTTGGTAGGGGCACCTGAATAGAGGTGATATTGTGGGCAACATTCTTGGCACAATTCCTTTACATAATTTTGAAATCCTAACTAAAAATGTCCCTGTAGATACAATGAATAAATAAACAAGGCCCAGCCCAACCTCCAACCCTATGATGTATTGTAAATATGTTACCATGGGCGTGGCTGCTGTTGCTGGGACTCCTCATTGTATTCCCAAGTGTTGTTTTGTGCTTCCTGCAGGGTCACTGGCTCAGTGGTGAGGGTTGTCGCTTCATATGGTTATATATATTATTACATGGACAATAAATAAGGGCAAGTTGTGATAACCTAAGCTGTTTGTGCCCTCTGACATGGTGCCCTTTCTACTGTGGGCTCTACTATGGCACAATAAAACCCTAGTGTCCTGTCCTCTCAGTGGGCAGTACTCTGTACTCTGTGTGTTTTTTACTACCGTGGCGCTCTGTTGTGCCCTATTTACCGTGAGCCTTGCCCTGGCGCTATCTGGCCCCTCTGCTGTAGGACCTTCTCTGTGTGCTGGTCCTCTCCCTGCTCACCATAGACCTTTCCTTGGGTTCAGGGTGGCTTTTTGCTTCAGCCTCTGTGTGCACCACTGACCTGGACCCGAGATGCGTCACAATTGCTAGACTTGTTTAATATTCATTGTTAATGCTGGCCATCAACAAGATGGTTCTGTTCTAGGCTCCTACCACAGTCCATCATCTATCCTCATAGCGGATGAAATACACCTTATCCAAAGAAACTCAAAAACTGTTGAAAATTCAGCCACTGGATTTCATTTTAATAAGGGACTTCACACAATAATATGTACAGAAAATAACTCATAATTTCCTGGAAAAAGTTTATTTGTTTATTTTTCTAGCTCATTACCACATGAGCCAAATAAAGAAAGGCAGCATGATCCTTTATGACATTATGACCTGCTGTACTAGTGTGCAACAACACCTACAGCTGATAGCAACCAACAGACTCATCAGGTTATTCTTTACATAATATTTGAGCCAGTTTAAGTCCTTATAAGTGTGCATTCACTTTATCTGGGGTTGCAGAATCACAGCAGTAAAAGCACCAGTATGTGTAAATCCATCTTGGCATAGAGCTAATGTCTTCCATTGCCCTTAATTTAGGTTCCACTTCACCCCCCATGGTTGTGTCAGCCCTCCCCATGAGCTCCATGTTTCTCAAAAGCACCTGTTAAAAATGTGAAAAGTTATAAAATCCCTTGTACAGTTTTCACCAACAGCAATCTTACACCAGCAGTTACATATCGCAGTGTTTTTGTAAGTCTCCATGTCAAGTTTCAGTCCACTTATTTAGCTCTGTAGGTCCGCTGTGTCTCTACTTGTTGGTTTTTCGGGGCATGAGGACCTTCTTCTTACAAACATTTAAGTGTCATCTTGTATTGGAGGACTGAGCCATCACAACTCATATGTTTTCCTTGTTGTCTACACAGTGGAGGGGACCGCTGCAGGCAGTACTGTCAGTTTGATCTGTAAGAGTCTCTTTGGTGCAGTACAGACAGCGCTACCAAGCTGATGGTTCATGTTCATTTCATCCAAAGTGTTTATTTTATTTGTTAACCTATTTATTCCATCTTCATGTCCTTTTGACTATCTGCCTGTTTGATCATGCGTCAGTAATATCTGTTGAGGCTTTGAGTGACTGTACTGATGTCTGGTTGTCCATTCATCCAGATCTCTCGGAGAATCCTTTCCCGCTCTTCTAGCCGCTGGGCCCTGTCTAGCTCTGATGAGACACACACACACACACACACACACACACACACACACAGACACAAAAGGGTTAAGGCATGCCCACACACTGCCCCTTCACGTAACCATCAGATTTCATATCACTGTTGAGACGGCTTTCTATTTTAATTATGAAGCATGTGTGTGTATGTCTGACAGTATTGCTCACAGAGATACAACAGTCTGTGAGTGAGCGTGTATTAACGTGTACTGACATGTTATTGGAAATTAAATGAAATTGCACATGGTGATGCTCAGTAGATTTGTAATTATCCAGTGGTGGATAAAGTATAAGTTTGTACACACTAAAAAAATAGTCTGTTAAAAGTACATGTCATTAGGCAGCTTGTCAGAGTATTGTATTATTAGATTATTATTACTGATGCATTACTGTGTACGCAGCATTTACATGTTCAGCTATCCTATGTCATGCTGTTGGGTATCAACAGTTATATGTGTGTATCATATGTGTGAGAGATACCCTCAGTTGACGTGAACATGGTGGCGTTCAGCAGAGCTCTCTCAAAGCGTCTGCGTCGTCGTGCCGACAGGTCAGACGTGTCATCCCAGTCCTCTGATTCGCTGTCCCCAGCAGGCCCAGGCCCTCCAGAGGTAACAACAGCAGTGTTGTCTGGATTACTTTCAATGGGCTGATGGTGGGGACAGCTGTGGTGGCGACGGTGATGATGCCTGTTCCTGTGGCGATGGTGAGGGTTTTTACTGTTGCCATAGTGACAGTCTGCTCGACAGTGTATCTGGAAGACGATGGCACAGAGCGTGACAAGAAGGCCGACACAGACACCGCCCAGAAACACCAGGGCTGTCCTCTCTGGTTGGTCTGAGAAAAAGAGAGGATAAAGGAAGACAACGATGAAAAGTTTTCAATAAATCAAAATGTTTAACAGTTAAATATATTGACTGCTGCTCCATCCTCCTGTCCTTGCTCCTCTGTACCCAGGTAATTCTCTTTCTCTGCTCTCTTGCTCACCTGTTTTCTATCTGCCTCTTGTTTTTTATGTTAGTTTGACAGGTTGACTATGTTGCCTAGGTCTTATAGCATACAAGCTATAATAACATACTGTCTGCTACATGTTGCTGTCACATTATTGCCAAACGTAGACACAGGTAAACCAGGGATTGGACCCAGAACGCAGACACCAAGGTGGAGTAGATGCAGTTTATAGCCTAGTGTTTACTGACAATTTGTGAAAACTTAGCCTACACTCAAGGTGAGGCTGGCAATGTTTAGGGACGCTTGACAAAGAGCAAAAGACCAACGACAATAGACAGTGGGAAAAGACTGACTTAAATAGCCTATACAAAGAGGGAGGTAATTAACAAGAAACAGGAAAACAATTAGCCAAAGACAGGAAGGAAATTAAGTCAACAAAGACACATGAGGAAGAGTTTAACAAAATAAAACTGGAAATAACTACGCACAAAACCAAAACCATGATAGTTTCCTGTTCACCTGCTGCCTGCCGGAAACATGTTGACCTATGCAGATTTTCTACTTTCTTGTTTATAAGATAATTAGATTTTTTTTTTTCATTCAGAATTCACATTTCAGTATTTCAAGTTGATCATCTAATATTTGTCAACATAAATATTTATTAACAGAGAGGGTTAACTAAATGTTCATAAACTGTGGTAAAGGCTGTCAAATAGGTCCTTTAGGCTATTTATTTGCTCCCCAGAGTGGTGAACAGTGCCAGTCCTTTAAGTCCTTCATAGCACACACAAGAGTATAACTGTGCAATTTTGACCTACCTGCAATGAAGGTGTAAGCTGCCAGTAGGTTGCTAAGTAATGCCATCTCCTGTGAGACCACCTTCACCTCCATATTTGGGCGTTCTGTCGCTGGAGCGCTCATGATTTCACAATGAGGTGAGCTTATCGTGTACTCCTCTAGACGTCAGTGGAGTTCATACTTCGTGACTCCACTAGGTTGTAGGTTTACGGGGTGGAGGAGAGAAGACAGAAGTAAGAGGTGACAGAGGAAAAGGAAGAAAGAAAAAGAGAGAGCAGGGGTGAGAGGGGTGAATGTGGAAGAAGCATGAGTGACAGTTTTCATTTGCAAATCATCCTTCAAGTTAAATTAATAATGTGTAGATATACACAGAAAATCTGAAAGCATGTCAGCATGAATCTCACTCCTTTTCCTCCTGGAGACCCCCCCCCCCCAAAAATAAAAAACAACAACATAAAAATGAACACACAGTGAGTCATGGCAACTTATCCTGTCATTATAATTAGCATCTTTGCTCAAAGTCAGGTTTGTGCCATACAGGTTATCACCAAGTACACTATTAAAATGTGACTTTTGTACCGAGTATTTCTATTTATCCATAGCTGAAACATCTCTTGTATGGAGACAAGAAGAGATAATTAAGGAGCACTTTGACGCCTCGTCCCTCATCGCTTCTCACTTTCCCCCTCGTTATAAACATGCATGAGCTGTTAGCCTGCAGGGTTTACAAGAAAAGGCAACCATGAGGCATGCGTTCCTCAGACAAACAAAATGTCTTTTACCCCTCAGTCACATACTGATATTTAACTTTTAAGATTATGCACATACATAAAGTAATAAAGCAAAGGATTCACACACAAACACATACTTTAATGAACTCATAAATGATACATTCAGAGGTTTTGCAGTGTCAGTACAACAAATACTTCAGTAAACACACAGCATTCTATTTAAAAAAAAAAGAGCAAAACAGAACATAAAAAAAAAACAGAATGACATAGTATTGTAAAGACAGATGCCTGACACAAGAAGAGATACTTTGGCAGCCAAGACAAAAACTCATTAGTGTATTCAACGTGCCAAGATACCTCCTCTGGAAGAGAAATATACACATACTATTATTCTTAGACAAGTTATATAAGATTTTAAAACTTCACAGCCTTAAACCCAGTCTTGGACTTGAAGGCCTTGCTGACTCTACATTATAAGTTGGTCTCCCCAAACAGTGACACATGGAAAAGGAAAAGCACTTGGCCCTAAAGAAAGTAATCAATTGTCTTCTGTCTTTGATTAGTAGAAATGACTGTGGATTAAGGAAAGGTGAAGAAGTCGGTATCTGGAGATTCTAACCAAACCACTAGGTGGCAACAAACGGCCATAAGCCAAATTACAACTTGTGGGTTGTAAATAGACTCCCCAGATCAAGATGTTGCTGACCTTGCTGGTGGACACAAACACAGGCACAGATAAAGACACACTGTGTCACAGACACGCTGGTGTCATGGACCTGGAGTGGACTGAGCAAAGTACAACAAATGTCTCACTGGAGAGTTTGACAAAGCAACACTGCTGTTTCAGGGTCTTTATCTTGTTGTTTTGACCCACTTTGAAAGGTCTTACTGCCCTGTAACTGTACATGTCTCACAGCATTGACTATGTTTGATTGTGATTGTTTTGGCTGACTCCAGCGCGTTGATTTCAAATGAAATAGGCTGTGAGGTGAAAACTTTCAGCTTTAACTGCAGTGTGCACATCCATACTGGGTGAACAGTTGACTCTTGGGCAATATGTATGAAAAGGGCCAAAATCTCTAGATGGTTCATAGATGGGCATGTGAACACCCTCACATTACACTATCAAGAGGATGTTTGCATCTATTATTGTTATTTTAGAAAAATTTGTAAAGCCATGAACAAGGCTAAAAAATATCAAGAAATATCAAGATATATATTTTTAGCCATCTTGCAAATATGCAAACATGTGCTGTTGGCCTGGATGTATTGTGTGCTTGTTTCAGAGACAACTAAATAGTATCAACTAGTGCCACATACCACACCATTTATTGCCTGCACTAGTTTGCAACACCTAGTTTAAATGTAGAGCAGAGACAAATAGTTCTATACAGTATTGTGTCTAAACATGTAGCCCCACCCCCAGACTGGAACTCCCCCAAACACACTCAGGATTATACCTTCCGTGTGCGTGTGTTACTTACTGATGACTTTATTACTAAATGTCTTGTCTCTTAAATAAAAAGAGATGAATAAAGGAGGATTGGGAGTGAAACAAGAGAAGGCTCCACTGTGTCTGCTTTTCTTTCTTAACTCCTTTCTGACCTGATCTGCTCAGATGAATGGCTCCACAGTCTAAGAGACCCTAATGGTAAAGGTCTGATTATGTTTTCAATCTTATGGGACGCTTCCCTGAGCGTTTATTCAGGCTCCAACTTAGTTTAAATACTTCAAACACATTTTGTTTTGAGGAGCTTGGCTCGATGGTCAGCTGTTATTTTATAAGTGATGATAACAGAAACACCTGAATTAGTGGTTCCACACAATAAATCTGAGGGGTCACAAGATGATTAACATTTCAGGAAAAAAACATATTTCTGCTGCATAAAACTACAAACATCTAAAATATATTCAAATGAAACAATACGATGTAACAATCTAATCTAGAAATATGCAAACTTACAAAATGTCCGAAGTTGACTTGCTTTGTTTTAAAGGGTGACAAGCCAAAAAAGTTTTGATGCACTTTGCTCTCCGGTTTACACACACAACGTTGAGTGATATCAGGTGAAATAGAGCACAGTACAGTACTTTATCTCAAAAGCCATACCATAAACTAAACGTTGAAAATCCTTACATAATATGTCATGCATGCAAATGCAGAATGTGGTTTGATTGACTGAGTTATACAGCTCCAGGAATAAACCTGTCCACATCAACTAGTCCAGCAATTAAAAGCTCCCTCCTCTTGCAATGGATAGTTTAATGAGCAACTACTCATTATAGTTACAGTCTTGTGTAATAGTGTATGATAAGAGCTGGCAGAGCAAGTGTATATTATCTTCACTTACCAACACTAAAATCATGCAAACATTTACAATCCCCTTTAAGCATTTTCAAAGATAAATAAATGAATGAAAATATGTGTTCTAAACCACTTTTATATTTGTTTAATTGTAACACTTGAGTTAAGCAATATCTGCACATATGAGTAAAATTTGTGAGCTGTGTGTGAAGCGTGACTCTATAATTACACAGAACATTTATGAAACTCCTCGCTAAGACTTGTATTACAGACATTCTTCACTAATGTTTCGTTTCTTGTCCAACACTTTTGAAACTCTTCTTCCAAATCAAATGAAGCCTTGTAGATGTGTGCGTTAATCCAGTTATGAAAGTACAAACACCGAGTGCAGCAGTGTTAAAATGACACAGACAGTGATTTTCTCTTTTTGTAAGGCTTTTTTAATTTCTCAGCATGTTATGATTTCCCCAGCTGACAGCTGTAAACACATCTCATTACATGTGAATGTGTTCTCACTGACTACTTATGAGCTTTTTCTCCATTACAGCTTTTATTACTGTTTGCAAACAGGCCTAATTACTTCATGAAGACGACAAACAACTGTAAATGTATCATCATGAAAACTTTAAGCCTTGAAGGTTAAAACTGTTCAGAATTATAAATAAGCCATAACCTGTATGTTTTGAAGCGGTAAAGACATGGCAGACATTTCAACTTGAACAGATGAAAAATGGATGATGCTCTCAGAGAAGATCAAACTGGCCTAATTTTTGAGGATGTTTTCTGTAAAAAACTCTGAATCAGAAGGCGCAGGACTCTTGAACTGCTAGTAAAAACTGAGATCACACTAAAGAACAAATCTGCATTTTGCCTGTCACATTTGCATGAAAACACACCAAGGGCTTGTAATTTTGTTACAAAACAAACAAACCATTCAAAAAGCAAAGCATTAACACAGCAAGTGCAAGAGCAAACAACAGGACAACAGATCACATGACATTGCCGTGCAACTCAACACAACCAAACACAACACAACCTCCAAGCAATTCTAAATCCACTGACTGTCAGGGTCATTTTGTTATGTTATGTGTAAATGCTGCAGGATGTGACTGCCCTTCTCTCTCCCGTTCTCCCTTTTTACTCGCTCTTTTGGATTTGACAATTTGGGTTACTGTGTGTTACAGCAAACAGTATGTTGTCGTGCCATCACAAATAATTCATAGCTCAGTGTAATAACACACATTTTATTTAGCATTTCATGAATAAAAACTGCTTTGATCCATTTGTCATATATACTGCATCTATAACACATTTACAAACAATTACGAGCAGAGATCACAGAAAAGGAAGGATAAAAACAGAAAGAGTCCCTTCATTGTCGCAACACATAAAAGTAGTGAAAAATCCTGTCATAATTTACTATCAGGCAGCTGAACATCACAGTTACGTAATGAAATTAGTAGGAGAAACTTGGCCTGCAGCCAGCTCATTACAGGCAGTCACACTCTATCCGACAGTCTAGACAACAGGAGCTGTTTACACTGATGACATCTACGCACTATCTATCTATTTATCTATCTATCTATCTATCTATGTGGTGTGTGTGTATTTGCAAAATATCTACAGCAGTTTGACAATGTGGTTACATTTGATTACTTGATGAGAAGATTGATACCACTCTCAGCAGGACAACAGATCACATATGCAAATGTGACAGGCAAAATGCAGATGTCTACAAGCTACAGCCAGGAGCCAGTTAGCTTAGCTTAGCATAAAGACTTGAAACGGGGTGAACAGCTAGCCTGGCTCTGCCCAAAGATAATAAAATCCACCTACCTACCTACCGCTAAAGCTCACTAAGTAACACGTTATAGCTCGTTTGTTTAATCTGTATAAAAACTGAAGTGTAAAGACTACTATTTGCTTGGGGTTATGTGCCAAATCAAATTTTTTGGCTATGAGCAGTAACCTTGTGCAGTCTCTGCTGGTAACCTACAAACATGGCCAAGAAATAGCCTGACCCATAAAACAGCGAATTGTTTTTTTATACTCTTATGTTTTTGTATGGATTAAATATAGATATTCAGTAGGAGTAGATTATAGGGTACACATAGCTATAACTAATACAGTTTAATACAGTCAATAGTGGAA